AGGGGTGCGCCCTTTAGGGGTAGGAATTTTGAAAAAAAAATTGCAAAATCGGAAAGAGCATACCCAAAAACCTATTCAAAGACATGCCACCCGACTTTGTAAATCTTATGGTTGCTGAGAAAAAAATTAAAGAAGAAATGCAGATTTCAACACTCTTTGGGGGGTGGCTCCCAAACGAAACACGTTGGACCCTCGGTTTATTTGGAAAAAGTGCTTGTTTTGATGCCTTCTACAACCCGATTTTTTTTTTCGAACGGTCGTGTAACACCCTGTATAAAATTTTTCTAAATGAAAGTTGTATAACATTTTATTTCCTTTAATAAGGCAGCATTCAATTGTTCTTATTTTAGAAAACAAATGAGCAACGAAAAACAATTGAATTTTTTTAAATAGCAATGTACTCTTTCATTACGCTAATTTGATAGAGATTTTTTTCTCTTTTCGATAACGTGACATGTTAGTATCCTTATACAAGACAATTTTTCAAAAAAAAAATAATTACATTAATCTAGATATCCTACATCAAAATAAAACAAATGATGGAAACACACGAAACTAGCAATAATTGTGGCAGCAATTTCTCCCAGAAGGACTTGGACATTAATTTCAAGCTGTCCGTGAGTCCGTTAGTTCACTGCCTTGCAGTTGATACTTGATACGTTGGCATATGCCTGGAGTATCCGTCTCATAATAAAGATTTTTTGAACATTTATTGCGATGAAAACCTTTTTATTGCTAATTTCGTTTTGTCTTCAAGGTTTTTAATAAGAAACGTACACCTTCATTTGTGTTATTTTTTGAAAAATGTTCTTGTGTAGTGGTACTAACATGTTACATAATCGAAAAGAGAAAAAAAATCTAGCAAATGAGCGTAATGAAATTGCTCAATTGTTTCTCGTTACTCATTTGTTTTCTGAAATAAAACAACTGAATGCTGATATGGGAAATAAAATGTTTCATATAGAAAAATTTTGTATACATTCGATATTTACCGAGATATATACTATATTCCATACATAATGGGCACCCTATATGTCGTAGGAAACGAGGCGATAAAACTCTTAAAATTTTTAAATCTCTTTGATCGAAACGGCTCTTACGGCCTGTAATGGCCTACCGTCTTATTAAAAAAACCACGTTGTTTAGCAAAAGCTATTTGGTCCTTTGAGCCAAATTCCCTTCTTTTGCAGTTAATATATACAAACACGTAAGAAGCACAAACAATTTTGTTTGGACTAAACAGTCCTTTGGGTGATCGATATTTCCTCGTAACGGCAAAGAGTAAATTATTATGTGTTCTTTGGTAACGGCAAAACATCTGCATGCGCTGACTTCCTAATATATGAGACAGAAAGCATAAAAAAATATGAAAGATATATCATCATTAAATCGTTTGCGCCTTATATGTGACAGGTAAACAATTACAATACAACGAAATTATTTCATTTTATAAGGGCCATCATTCATATTATTATTTGTGAAAGCTTGCATGATTAATTGATTAATAATGTGACAATAAATCTTTTGCTAAATCTCTCCTCATAAATTTTCACTAAGATAATCAATTTTGAGTGACAGGTATGCAAATAAGGATGAGACATATTTAGAGTACCCTTGGATCTGCAAGCGAAGCAATTTCTACATGGTTACTCTCTCTCATATACACTGTGTCGAAGATAGGAAGATGGCCAAATTAGGGTAAAGTTGCCGTTTTTGTTTTGTTCTGATGTTGTTTGAACAGATAAGTTTTGATCAGTAAAAAAAGACCATACTGTATTGAGTGGCTTTTTTTTATTACGAATGCAACGATGTACGGCGCACAAAAAAACAGAAGTTGGAGTTGGTTTCAACAGGATGGTGCACCCGCGCACAGCGCCCTAATCGTGCGAGAATAGCTATCGCACAAATTTCCTGGAAAATGGAAAATATGTCCGCTTTTTCGCACAATTATGGCGTTGTGCGCGGGTGCACCATCCTGTTGAAACCAAAAGTTTACAACTTCTGTTTTTTTTGTGTGCCCTACATTGCTGTATTCGTAATCAAAAATGGTACTCAAAGTATGGACGCTTGTCTCTGCTGTAAAACGATCTTTCTTAATTGATGTTGACATGGATAATATAAAAATCGAAGCGTAATTGGCGATCAGACGGCTACGATCAAAATTAGAGCGACAGGCGTATGCAATTTGTATGGGAATGCATAGTGAAAATTAAATACGTGTAATATCGGACATCTCCTTACCATATTACCTTGTTATAAAATTAGGTATGTTATAAGGTTATAACGCTCATCTTTCAGCATCATCAATCAACCAGAAAAGTAAATGTAAAAACAATAAGCGATTATGACTTACAACGATTGATTGTCCTAAGAAACGCAGCACATGATTGTATCTTCTTCTGCCTTTAAACTGTGACTAAGAATACCGCTCAAAGAAGTGCTTCCATTTCATTTATTAAACAACCCGTTTTAAGATACTTACGGTTGGTAAAAACTTCAGGTTAATGCACTTTAATAAAGCAACATCAAACGTTTGTCAAGATTTTCTAAAACTTTGTGTGAGGGAATGGTGGTCAATATTTTCTTTTGAAAATATTGCTGAAGTCCTTAAGAGAATGCTGTTGATCTGGAACCTAATTCGCTCATAGAATTTTATACAAAAAAGCCAAAATTCATTTTTTGAAAAATTGAAAAAACAAATGACGATTTAAGGTATGGAATACCTTTGTAGTGGACTGTAGCCTACTGTAATAAAGCGAATTTCTTATAAACTTTATGGTATAATTTCCTCAAATTATAAAATTACTAAATGGCAATATATCCATGTAATTCATACATATAATTTTAGTTTGGTTGTGACTTTAATCCGGAACAGATTTGCCGGAACTGAATTTAGGGACCTACTTTTGTATCTACGATCTTCACTTAAAATTTATCTCTCCAAATAGGAAGCAGGGTCAATGTTTGAACGTTGACGTGCATCCACGGTACTTATTTATTTAGACTAACCCTCGAGAAGCAATGCACATTTCAATAATTTGGAGAACTGGCATTTGATAGCAGTTCATCATATGCAATGACGGATTTCGATACGTCAACTACATTAAAATTAATTGCCACGATTGTGGAGCAGTTAGCATCAAATCAACAAAACCAGTAAGAATTTTTTCAACAAATTTTATTACGTACTCCATCTAATTCTACATCCGGTGCTAACGAACCAATGCCATCTTTCTGACAACAAATATGCACATTCCTTAGTCTTTTAAACTACTTCTTTGCCTTATTGATAGAGTGCACGCTAGTCTAAAATCATTCGAATTATTGCTCGTATTGAGTATTAATTATAGTTTTAATATCCCATGGCCCCCGTGTCGGACGTTGGCATTGCTATTTCGTAATACTTTATGTGCAGCACGATTCACTACCACTTTTATTTGTTTGCTGTGTTGTTGTCTGTTACAGATTCGCAGAACGCGCCCTTCTGAATTCAGACGGCCGTTACGACCAGAATTCAAAGGTAATTCTTTTATTTTTCCACGACTCCTTGATTTAACGTTTGATTACATATTGGTTTTCGATACAATCGAATTGTAATTATTACATTTGTTTGAGATTATAGGTTCGTTGTTTTCTGCGGAAGCCTGTTTTGATATTAATACTTTTTCCTACTACGTGTCGATCCCATTTTTACTAAAAATGTTCTATTGGTAATATTTTTGAGATAATTGATTAAATTACCCTCAATTGTGACGTCAATTATTGCTTATGTTCTAGCCCAGGGGTAGGCAACCTGCGGTTCGATGCGGCTCTTTTAATATAAAGTTGCGTCTCTTCGCATTTATCTAAAAAAACTAGTTTATCTTTTTCGAAAATTCACCTTTTTAATAAATCTCATTTTATTACGAAATAGAAAGTAGACTTGTAGCAAATATTTAATTTGTGACACTTGTTTACTTTCGGGCATTCTTTTGTTTTTTATTATCACAGCCTACTCGGGTATATAAACATGTAGTTAATGAATGGGTTTTGTGAAAGAAAAATATTGAGCACAGGGCATCCCTTATAAAAATTGAAGAGACCACAATTGACAATCGATTAGCGAAATAAAATGGTGGTAGATTATTTGAAAAAGAATAGTTATGGCACTTTGAAGTTTGGAAATTTACTTGTGAACACTCTCTATCATTAAATCCAACTTTCTCATTATCAAAGTGTTGCCCTTTACTCGGATTAACATTATTGATCAAATGCATTTCTTAACTTCAAAATCAAGGTGGCTACGATTCATTAAAGTGAGGCTTGCTTATGGGGAAATGTTCGGAAAAAAAATAGATTCTCCATTAGTTCATCGATCGCGATTGTAAAATGAACCAAAAACCGTAAAATGGAACTCGCATTTAATAATAACGAAACTGTTGTTTAGTTCGCCGAATTTAATAATAGTTAACAATCAAAATTTTTGATTACCAATTTCCCCGACCAATGAACTGTAATCAAATTTTAATAAGTTCTGCAGCAAAAAGTTTCAGATTCTTAAATCTGAATCAAAATATATTGCAAAAGAATCGATGACAATCCTAAAAATTGGAAATTTTAACAAAACTAATAACCGAAATCGGCCCCCTCATCTAAAAAACAATTCGAAATTAATAACAACAAACTTAACAGGATTTGGGGAATTGATGCAAAGAACGATGTAAACTTATTTGCAACGTTGCAAAGAAGTCTAGGAAAACGACGCATCTACCTACATTTCTAATTCGATTTCGTTTGTGTTCATTAGTGTAATTAACAAATTAAATTTCTACTAATTAAGAGAGGTTTCCATTAATTTGTGTTAGCTGTAGGCGCGTACATAAATAATGGGCGTCATCATTTTCATTGCAACAGATTATTTATATTGTTCTAAGCTCCCATAACTAATATTATTCTTAGCGTTAAACAATAGCGCTCATTCTTAAAAGTGAAATCCGAACATTAAACAAATAGGTACTCACCAACAATTCGTGGTTTATTTCTTTGCTTTCACAGTCGTCCGTCGATTTAAACATTTTTCGATGTACCTTCTTAAATTCGTCCATTAACTTTCTGTGCTGCTCTTCTTTTCCGGTGTCGATGCTTTTTAATGTCTTCTGTTCTTGCAGTCGTTCGTCGATTGACTGCTTCGTGTGGATTTTGTTACGCTAGAAATTGACAATTAGCTTCAGTCTTAAGCCATTTAAGTGATATACCTCTGATCTTCGGATTAACTCCTGACTAATAGCGCTCGATAAACTACTGGAAGACTCCGCATAGCTACAAATTGAGGAACTTTCAGTCTTGGTCGTCTCTTGGTGCACCTCGACGAAAACGGTTTTGGTCTCTTGTAGGGAATCCGCTAATTTGTTCGCCTTATTTCTAGTTAACGTATTACTATTGGTTTCTAAATTTTGGCACTCTTCTGAACCACTATGCGTAATTGTGGTACCATTCTCTGAGAGGTTAATTATGGTCGGTTTAAACTGGTAGCGTCTGTCGTTGTCGATGTCGTCCCACTCCATCTTCTCCCATTCGCTTTCTTTTAGCCGATCGAGTTGCGATAGACGATCTTCTAATTCTAACGATTCTTCCTTGACGATCGATAGCCTTTTTAAATCGGACCACGAAGGACTTTGGTCGCCTGTAACTGAGCTTGCGGAACTGTTGTAGCCACTCGATTCGCTGGGGAAGAGTTCGGAGCCCGCCGATTTGCGAACCAGTAGGTCTAATTGGCGTGCGGTTTTCATTAAGTTAACGGCCTGGAAGTGGACAGGTTTTATTCTGGGAATGAGAATGTTTCCTATACCTCGCTGAAGTGGATGTCGGTAAAGTCGACGTTATTGCATGACAGTATCTGGTCACCAGGACGTAGGCCAGCGTCACGGGCGATTCCGCCTTCTTTAGTTAATTGCACGAAAATGCCAGGTTTCCATTCTGGGCCTTTGCAAATTCTGCAAAAGGCGAAGGTGTGGCATCGAAAGGTCATTGAAAGAGAAATTGCACTCACCCACATCCCAATTTGGTACGTGGCGCTATCATAATGCTGATTCGCACGTCGTGTACCTTGTCGCTTAATTGTGGCGAGGACCTTGTCGAAGAAGTGCCATCGGATATAATGTGCCACGTTAAAGGATCGACTCTTCGACTGTAAAGAAAATATTGACCCACATTACGTAGGTGTCTAATGGTAATTGACGGCTACTAAGTAAACACAATCACCTTGCTAAGTGACGCTTATATTTACTTACTCTTTAACCGGGATCATTCCAACATCTGAAACAGAAAGTATTCATTAGTGTTTTTTTTTTACTTGAGGATATTTCAAAAGTAGGTTGTTTGGTAATGTAATTATTTTTTCGGTTCGATGGAGTTTTGAACCCAAGTTACCTCGATTCTTTTGTAACCAAATCGTCAAAGTATGAAAGATTTACGTTTGAATTTCGATTATATTGCTTTGCTCACCATTCCAGAAGAAAAATTTGAGCACAAAAACGTCCTGAAGAGCGCTTACGAAATGTAATTTTTTACTAGCTTTAGCAATCCAATTTAAGGAAGATTGGTTACGTGAAGCAATTATTAAAGCTTTAGTGAGGTAACCAGTAATAAATGCAGTGCTGATGAAAATTTGTGGAAATTAGAGAATCTTTCTCCATTGCATAACTCATCTGAACGTTGTTACGTATTGTTTCTATTCGAAAACTGTGCACAATTTTTGCCACCCTCAAGAAATAATTACGCCTGTCTTGGCGTGCGCATTTATATTGAAGTTGAATTGTATAGATCGATCAAGAAATTACCAATCAACATTTCTCCAGTTCCCTTCATGTGTCTACATCTATTACCACATTAATAGGTTAATAGCACGCACAGATTAAATTATGTTGCAGGAACAATTGGCACACGATAAGTCTAGACAAAATGTCAAATCTCCAGTAAAAAGTTGATTGAGTCGATCAAGAATTATCAGGGGCAAACCACTATGGAATTCTGGTGTACAACCTCATGGAATTCTTATGGAATTCATGGAACTCTTTTGGAATTCATGGAATTCTTTTGGAATTCATGGAAATCTTTGGGAATTAACTTGTAATTTTTATTCAATTCATTTGCATTTCTCATAGAAGCCTTTTTACAAGCTATGGTTTAGGTTGTGGCTATTGATGTTTCTATTATTACCTGAAATTCATACATTTTTGGTTTGTAGATTATATATTGCGCCACTGACCTTTACAGTCATAAAAGTAAACTTCCTCGCTTTCCCTCGACGTTTCCATAAATGTTGTAAAAAAAATCATTATATGTAAAGTGTTCTATATAAACAACATTAATATCAATTTAACATTTCTCTTAGAATAAAACAAAATGTCAATGATATTATTCAATAATGGATTATTAAGATCACTATACAAAACAAGTAAAAAGGTTTTCGTCCTAAGGCGAGCAATTTCAGGTCATTTTCCATGAATGGATCAGTACTTCCCAAAAGGCTAGAGCTATGTGCGCTATTGCACTAGAGGCATATGTGGTTAAAATTTCAAAGAAATATCTCCATAAATAAGGAAGTTGGAACTGACTGCGCATGCGCACATCTAATGTTTGCAATATCAGATATGTTTGCGTTTAACGACAGAAGCATCTGTGATTAAAATTTCAAAAAGATATCCTCGAAGATATCCTGCGCATGCGCACATTAATCTGATGTTTACAATATGCGATACGTTTGCTTTTCCTAAAAGCATCTTTAGTTAAAATTTCAAAGAAATATCTCCATAAATTTAAAAAAATGGACTTGCGTAGCTTACGCATGCGCAGTTCAATCATCACTGGAATTCTTTGGAAGTCAATGGATTTTTTTGGAATTCAATGGAATTCTTTTGCAGTTTTGGCAGTCTCATGGAATTTATTTGGAATTCTGGAATTATTTTGCTCTTTTGGACCAGAGTGTACACATTTTTGCTCAGTGGCTTACCCCTCGGAATTATCTCATTACATTTTCATTAATTTCAGGTGTGCTCTGTGATTGTATATGTTGCCATGGTGCTGTTCAATTAATTAAAAATATCGTTTTACTGTCAAAATTGTGTCTTCTAACAAACTATTTCCGAGACACTTTAAATCTACCATTAAGTATAAGTCTCAACAGGTTATGGGCCCAGAGCTGCAAGAGTAGTAAATGGGAAGAAAATGAAGTATGGAACGGAACTGTCATTTCTTACGAAAGCAGATCAGACGTTGGTTATAACCACAACTAATATGAGTGAAGAAACTAAAGATTATATGATGGTAAATCGGAAGATAAAACATTTGATCTATGTACACAGTTTTTCAGTTATAAAAGACAGCCAGAAAATACCATTGCTGCCGATACATGAACACTAAAAAAAATGGTGGAATGAACTACAAATCGAAATTGCCAAGGGCAAAGTAGCAACAAACAGCAAATGTAAATGTGATTTACCGAACTTTTACTCATATGTAAGATTATGGGTACCTAACCGGATGAGTATTTCTCGTTTAAATGGATGCTGACGGCAAAATCTGATAGGAACATGACCGATCAGTTAAGTATGGGCGCATGAAAAAGCATTGTCAAATAAGTATGACTCGAATCAACATGCTATGCACTTTGAAAGAGCTAATTTTAATAAAGCACAAACCAAATTAAAGAAAGAGTTTGTTTGTAACTAATGTTAAGTACCTGGCCACAAAGTTCGACATTGTTTAGACTCCCTAAACCAGAGACAAGCCCGGGAATTGATGTAAAAGGGACAAGGTAGTTCAAATTATGTAATCCCAAGATATAAGTCGGGATTATACGTAATCCCAAGATATAAGTCGGGATTATACGTAATCCCGAGATATAAGTCGAGATTATACTTAATCTCGAGAAATAAGTCGGGATTATAGTTAATCCCGAGATATAAGTCGAGATTATACTTAATCTCGAGAAATAAGTCGGGATTATAGTTAATCCCGAGATATAAGTCGAGATTATACTTAATCTGGAGAAATAAGTCGGGATTATACGTAATCTCGAAATATAAGTCGGGATTATACTTAATCTGGAGAAATAAGTTGGGATTATACTTTAATCTGGAGAAATAAGCCGTTTGCCGTTTTTGGAATCAAATAGTGAGTTGTTTTTGTGTGGAGAAAAAGCCGGACACATCATAAATTGTAAAAATATTGAATGAACTTAGATTCCTAAAGACAAGTTGTCGATTTTGTTGCAAAAAAGAAAACGTTTGTGAAATAACTCACAAAGAATTGATCGAGACAGTTGCTCATTACGTTTTCAGGTAATTTAATTTACAACAATATGGTAAAGCTCACAGATTAAAATTTGGTAGCAGAAATCGTGCTCAGCTGTATGTGGATCTTTTTCAAACTCCCAATGGGAATAATTGTTGAGGTCCATCTTGATCTTGAGTTTATTCACAAAATGAGGTTAAACGTTAATGGTGATCCAAAACAATACAATTCCCCATGAAAATAGTTAATTGTTGTACAATTTAAATTAAGGTGTTTACAGCGTACAACGCTACTAGTTTCGGCAAAAAACAGTGCTATCATCAGGCTACCGTTACAATGAACGTGAAGTTTAAAGTTGCAAAATTGTTTAAGAAATTCAAATAGAGGACAACGAAGTCACATCATAAAATTTACTTGGAAAGAAGTTAAAAAATGTTCAAAATTTATAACAATGGACCATGGGGAAAAATTTATTATTTATTATTTATTACATGTTAAAGGTTGTAAAGGGTGCAATAGATTGTGAAGCAACTCTTACAATAAACTAATATTGAAGATTTAAATTGAACCGATGTTTAAAGCGTACATGACGCCGTACAAACATGACATTAGTAGTCTAAGCAGCTGTACGTTTATAACAAACATTCATAATACCATAGTATACATAATAAATACACAATGTTAATACGTATATGGTTTGGAACATCATTATAATGATAATCTTAATTTAGTAGACGACAGGCTTCAAAAAACAAAGAAAACCTTATGTATATACAAAACTTTTTTCTCTTTACAACGATATATCACACATGGTGGTTCAATATCACATTTTTCCTAAAAATACAATTTTCATTTTCTGCGAAGAGTGCTTTGCAAAAACAAAAAGTTTTGTTGTGAACAAAAGGTAAAGTAGTGTCATTTACGTTTGTGCTAATATTATTTATTATGTATTTTGTTCTAATTTGAATTATAATTTCTTGCAAGACGAAGGTTCAATTCTGTGCAGATGAAAATCAAATTATTTTAACACAAGTAGTTCCCTGCCAACGCTACAACCAGACAGATGGATCAAACTGTCAAACTTTTGTTCACAATAATAGAAGGTAAGTATTGTTTTTCCAAAGCACTCTTCCCAAAAAATTAAAAATTGTATTTTTAGGAAAAATGTGATACTCAACCACCATGTGTGATATATCGTTGTAAAGAGAAAATTCAAAATGGCGCCCATAAGGAAAACTAAAGTTGCCACGTGTTTCTCCGTCATCTTAAGAGTTATTAAAAACGGGATGGAAGTTCAAAATATCCATTAAAAAGTCTCTGAATAATGTTGTTAATTAGAAATGTCTAGTACGATTAGATTACCATGAAAAAATTAAAAACGAAAATCAGAAAGTTTCGTTTTTTACGATATTTTCAAAACTATTGAAGATATTTTAAATTTCTATTCAGCACGGAAATTCGCAACTTTGCCTCCATTTTTCTATCTCTTAAGATAAGCGAGATCCCCATAGTGGCACTCGAAAAATGGACACCGTATATACTAAAAACAATTATGAACCTTATACAAAATTAAATTTAAAAATTTAAGCAATTCCAACTTTTTTCTGTAAAAAATATTTTGACAGATAATGGGTACAAGGTCTGTAATTTTGAAATTGCTTTTCATCGCCCTACTAACTTACAGAGTGGGACTACTTTGGCTAGCTTCCAAGCCGTTGGAAAGTTGCCCAATTCGATACAGCAATTAAAATTTTTTTTAAGGGTTAATCGAAGACTGGAAGCATCCTTTGAACGAAAAGGCAAATCACCATGCCCTGTCTTACTTTTAGATTTTAAAATCAAATATTGATTTAATCACTGATTGATAAATATAGATAAATGTATCCATTTTTTAGCGCATTTCCACAAAAATTAAAAAAAAATGCGCTATTGTGGCCACTTTGTCCGTCCGTCCGTCCGTCCGTCCGTCCGTCCGCTAACTTTGCGACGCTACTAGTTTTTTATCTTAAGAGCTATTGTTC